ATTGTGGAGTCAGGTTTAGGCACTTGTAATCTCAGATGTAAAATTAATACTGCTTACGTATTTTGTGGAGAAATAAAGGATCAGCTCAAGGCCTGTAAATAGCTCAAGATCCTCAAAATTCTGAAGAGTGCTAGTGAAAGTAAAAACTGTTATGATTTGCTGCATGATAACCTTTTCTGCCCTGGATGTTGGCAGCTATCTGATAAAAGGCTTGTCACACATGCTCACTGATGGAATCGTCTCTGATCCCTGGCGGTCTCAGGCCAGAAATATTGAACAAGGAGCGCACAAGAAACACAATGATTCTGACTTTGCTTCAGCTGTTTATATTTTTTAATTTCTCTGCCTCAAACATAATCAGAGGGTCAGAAAAGCATTACACTTACTACAGAGAGATAATAGCCAGAAATTACTGCCTTATTAGTTTTATATTTCTAAACAATGTCAGAAGATATCAGACATCCTGGAACCTCTGACCTAAACTGTGAAACACTATTTATAGCATCAATGAGTATTTCTCAGAAAAAAAAAATCCTAAAGGAATCATAAACACTTCAGTTGTGCAGGTTACAAGACAGTTTTGCTTCTCATTTTCTGAATCAAGTGGCTTAGCATAGATAAGCTATAGTTCACTAACAGTTTAAACTACCAGAAGCTGGCACTGATGTGAAAGAAGCAGTTTGCCCTGCCTCATCTCCAGCTACTCTGACCCTCTCTTGCACCAGCCTACATAACCAAGTCTGAGCAGTGAATCTGACTGAGAATCCAGGTCTCAAAACTGTAAAATAATTAACTTTAGCCCTGTGTATTTAATATGTTCAAGCCATTTGTCAAATTAAAGCATAAGAAATCAAAACTGCACTCTTCAACTCTACTTAAAAAGAAAACAAAAGAGCAAACTTACAACAGATAAAGGAAAAAGCACTTTTTACCAATACATAAAGTTTTGTTTTCTTGCTCATTCACAGATTGCATGGACAGAGCATACTGCGTAACCTGCAAGACCTAGTGGGTGTTTACTGATGGGTTTTTCACACCCCCCATTACACTCCTAAGTTAGACTACCAAAGTTTTCTCTGCTCAGAGCATAGAGAGGCAGCCACTGCCCATCAAATGCCAGATTGCAATTTATATGCCCTGGGACAGATTTATTTTATCCAGCTCTATGCACTAATCTTGGGCAGTCACTTCTTCAAATACTTGACCAAGCAACATTAGCACTTTGGGGGCACAAAGCCCATCAACAAGAGACCTCCATTCAGGCAACTACCTCAAGGCAAGGTGTGTCTTGCTGTAGATGGGCTTTTTCCTCTCCATTAATGGAAACTCAATAATGTAGACATGGATTTACAAACGCCAGCAATTGTCAGGTGAAACTTTGCTGTTTGTCTCTCAAGCACCTGGCTTCCCTGCCAGGTACATATTTCCTGTAGTACCTCAAAAAGAAAGTTTCAGTGAGGCAGCCCTGGGTGGGGGGAAGGAAGGGCAGGAGACATCAGTCATAAAGCCATGATTTGTTTTTTACTTCACCAAAATATCATAAGGAGCGCAAGTCATAAAACCATGCATACAAACAGCATATCTACTGTGACAAGTTTGCCAAAGAATACATCATTGTCCCTTTTAGGCTTTTAGCCTAGTTGGTATCCATGAAAAGTGTGCAGCTAACATCACTGCCTTGTATTAAGAATTGAACAACTGTGTCCTGCCTAATCTCTGCATATCATTCCTGAATAGAAGCATCTCTGCTGTTTCTAGAATTGGTCTGTTATATTTGCTAATCTCAATAACTTCTGGGGTATTTGTTTCTTTAAATCTCTTGGGTATATGAGCTCCCGGGGAGTGGAGACAGGTAAGTTCATTTGGACCTTCTGACTCACAAAAAATTGGAAGAGAAGAAAAACTGGACCATCAAAATACAAGAGGTCTGATTTATCTCTGTGTTACTCCCTAGTTAAGTATTATACCATCTGGATCATGGGAGTAAAACAGATGCAGCCTGGGTGTGACATAGAAGAAATTATTCCGTCCCACCCCATTTACTAAAATGAAAGCAACTTCAGTTTACTCTTTAAAAAAAAATATGGAAAAGTCTGTATCTTAAGGAATAAGCAGTGGAAATCTGTGTATTGGAGAGATATGACAGACTAATGCAGACTGCATGCCTGGAGCTAGATATAGCATTATTTGAATTTGCATGAAAAAGAGCACCAAAAGCAGCACTTTGAAGGAAGTAAAATGATCAACTCTCCTGAATGACATTTGCAAACACCAGTTTCAATTTTTATTCCTAATTTAAAGCACTGTGCAATAAAAAAGCAGCTCACTAATTTCTTAAGAAATTCTTGCCTTCAGTTTCCTAGACTCTCTGGTGCCCTAAGAAACATTCGTACTTTCTGCATTACCCTGCCCTCACTCCAATATACAAAAATGATTGATATGATGCATGGATTGTACTGATGAGGATTCATAGAATTGCTTTTTATCATGCTAGTATTTCCCAATTTTCAAGCAAAAAAGCAAAAAAAAAAACCAAAAAACAGACTTCAAAAGAGAAAAAAACCCAAATCATACTTCCTCTGCCTTTCCTCCCACACACCAGTAGCCAAACAACAGTATTACTGCAACACCACTTTGAAAATATTTGCATAGTACTAGTGGGAAGGCAGCTAAGCTGTGATACTTGTATATGCCTGAACATTTAGCCAAGGTAACAAATAAAGTTGGCAAGTTTCTTTTTAATTAATTCTGTTATCTATTCCAACTAGAACAAGCAACAAATCAGAACAAATGTTCGCGCTTTTGCAGAAATGGAAAATAGCAAACCTATTCTCCAAGGAAAGGAAATAGCTAGTGGGAAGACAATAATGTTTTCAATTAGTGAGCAAGTGGAGCCAACCTTCAAATTTCCTTTTCAGTGCACAGAAGTAGGTTCATTTAATGAAATAAAGAATTTTTATGGTGGTATGCATATCATTCTTTGATAGATGAATACGACAGTGTTCAAGATATCTTTAATATAATAGATTTTTCTTTAATCCAAATTGTATAGATAGTTTAAAATAAGCTCCTTGTTCAGGGAATGAGAACTGCTGAGATATTGGCTCAGGGATAGGAGGAAAAGAGGGGGGGAAATGTGATGCCAGTGTCTGAAAATGCCTCTGAGGTTACTTGTGGAAGAGATGCTAGTACAACTGATATGCATGGCAGAAAACTGACAGTATGCTTAAGAACATGTGGACAGTAACATAGGATAATGGGTTAGAATAATTGGGATTTTGGAGGCCAACTTCTTTGAATGATCATGCACATACAGGCAATTTGACTGCTACACTTCCATTTCAAAAAGCTTCTGATGAAGTTGACCATCCAATTCAAACTATGCTATGAAGGAGGATCTACAAAAAAGAGGTCAAGAAATAAAAATGGATTTTCATTGCTAACTAAAAGTGAAAAAAGAAGGTTAAGAATAATTGATTATTTTCTTTTACAGTGGATGGATATTACCTGACAGTCTCATGGATATGTTTTCAGTACACTCACAAATGAATTGGAAAATGGAAGAATAAAATTCACAAATGAATTGGAAAATGGAGGAATAAAAGGGTTTTCTGATAATATTCAGCTACAGAGGTTAATAAAAACAAATACTGACTGCATATTGCTGCAAGAGGACCTCATGATGTTGAATGGTTGTAAATTAAGCAGAAAAATGTAAATCAATAATAAATACAGTCACTTGCTGGAGGAAAAAAAAAAAACAACAAACAAACAAGAAAGTCAGCCTCAGGTATTCACTACTTCCTACAAGATGCCTGAGATTCTGTTTTTGCCAGTACAAGAATTACAGCCAAAATAATAATTCAGTAACAAAATTACAAAAGAAAAAGGTGTTGTATCACCTACTCCACAATTGAACTTTGGAAATTAAAGTATCTTTGTTCTTTTGAATATCAAAAGAACAAACTAATACAAATGAGTACAAAAGGCACAACTAGAGTAGAAAAAGACTCTTAGGGTCTATTAATTACAAAAATGCAATATAGTGTCTATCTTCAATGTGCCTGCATGGTAAATACCTCAAAGGAAGTTGAGATGGCTTACTATCTGCTTACTATGTCCTTACACTTGTTTCCTGAACATCCAACACAGGCCACTGCCAAAGAAAGGACACAGGGCCAGAAGTACTTTTGATTCAATCCAGTGCAGCCACTTTTTATGTTGTATGATGATCACAGGTACTACTGGCACACAAGTAATTTAAAAAAGGGAGACAGAAACTATCTACATTTCCAAACGAAGACACTGATCCCAAAGTAGCTTACATTTAGCTATTGGGAAAGTCAAAAAAATCAAAGCCTTTTGAGAAAACCTTCTGATGGACTTTGACTGCAGGCTATAGCCATCACCTTATAAAAAAAAAAAAAAAAAAAACAAAAACCAAAAACCCAAGTAAATATTTCTATTATTGGTTAGAAATGGGATCTAACTAAAATTCCAGAGTTGAGCACTCAGGCTTGCAGAGAATGCAGTGTGGAATTCACATGAATTGAGCACAACCAACTGTCAAGCTAAAAAATCCTAAGAGAGTACTTCTAAAATAAGCCATAAAGAAAAAGCTGTGGTAGTTGCTCTGATGCCTGGAATCCATCACATGCTACCTACAGATGAATCACTCTCTAGAAGTGCCTGTTTCTTTCCATTGGCTATGAAGGTGATCCAAGTGACTAGTTCACATGTAGAAGTTTTCATCAGTGGTCTAAAATCAGATTAGATGAACCCCACAGCCCTGGAGCCTCATTAACTGAAGTGTAACTTAACTTTTACCTATACCTGCTTTGCAAACCAAACTCCTCCGTGCAGTGCACTATTTGCACAAATCAAACATTTGATGCGTGTGGAACAAATTATTTCAAAGAAATGCACTGAAAATTTTAATGATACAGTGTAAATTCTGAGGTTACTGAACCTGTCAGACAGATAATGTTGTAGCTACTTACATCAGTTTTAGGTCGTGCTCCAGTCAACACTCGGTAAGGTAAACAATTTTGATGCTGGTAGTCTCCTCTTCTATTTTTCCAAGATCCTTTTTCTTGATGATGTCCATAAAGGCCTGTCTCTACTTGAACAGGGCACTGTAAGAGAATTTTTAAAACCCTATAAATAAAGACAAGTCAGAAATATTTTTAATGTGAACTCTAAGATAAAAACTTAGGAATTTTATCTTTTCCTCTGGATTTTTTTTCCTCTGATGAAAGGCAAACATTTGGTTTTGATCTTTTTTTTCTTAAAAGCACCTGCTGCATCATTTTTACATTTTGCTAAGTGAGACATCCCATCATTATGGAAAGTTGCTTCCTTAACATCCAGTATACACAACTGGAGAACTAATCAATAATAGTACACCTTGCTGTAACTTAAAGGAACTGAATCACTTTGTAGAAAGAGAAATGGTTTTATTCAAATTATTTTTAAGCTATCTTTTAATTTTATTTCATATTTATTTTTGTATATTAAACAGAGATCCCAAAACCTCCCATTTTCAAATTACAGATTCTGAACTTTTCAAATAAATTTTTCCTTATTCCCCAAAACCTGGGGAGTTCTCATTTCATTGTTCCACTCTCACACCATTTTTTAAAAGGTGGATGTCCTTACTCTGGGCCCACACTGAATGCAGTGTAAATAAGAGACCAACTGCACAACATTCCCTCAAGTATCCTGGTTTGCCCAAGGGAAAACTGGGTGAGTGAGCAAGAAGCAACACATGCTGCAGTCCAGCAGAATTCATACTACAGACAATCAGGGAAACAGGGTCATGGGTGCACTGCAGAGCAGTCCCAAGCTGCTGGGGACAATCATTCTAATCAGCCCATTTTCAGGCTCTTCCTCCCCACAAAGTGATAAATGTGCTTCTGATCTTTAATAGCAACTGCCCAGTTCCCAATTAGTATATTTTGTAGGGATGTAAAATGAGGAGGCTTTGAAAAAGTGACAAAACAATTAGTATGCAACCCCAAACAAGTTTGAAGACAATATACTAATGCAAAATAATTAAATGAATATGTAAGTTAAAGAAAAAGCTTTGTTCAAGGAAAGTCATATCTCTAATATAAGATAATCAATAATCAAACAGGATTTCCCTGTCATTCATGAATAATAAAAGACTGAAACTGAAAAAAATGTGATTCTCATTCTCAAGATTTCCTGCTTTTTCTGTAGTGAAACTGAGTACAAGATACTAAGTGGCAATGAAGCAGATACATTAAACAATGGGGAAACACACTGCAGCAAGAGTGATTTATCTCTGATGTTTCATTTACAAAGTGCCTCCTTCTATACTGCTAAAAAGGATTTTTTTTCCCATAGGAAAGGTACAGATTTTACAGGAATAGAGCTATTAAATATGTTTTTCCAAAACAAGCAGTTTTGTTGTTAGTACATTCAGACAGTACAGCTTTTTGCACTTAAATCATGTGTTCATTCCATTGGTGAGGGAGTGTTTCAGAAAATAATTTGATTATAGACAATTATTTTTAACATCTTCTCTGCATCAGCTACTGAGGAATCCAGTCAGTGCTACATCCTCATAATATATGCCAACAAAAAAATGACCAGTAGCAATTTGTGGTTTACACAGATGTAGGAACAAATCATCCCTTAGCATTCATGCAAAAGCTATTATGTTTTCTAAAACACCTTGAATTTTCTCACTAAAATACTGCAAAACTCTCTACTCTCACCCAATTGGTCACATAATATTTATTCAACCAGTGCATATTTTGGCTTCTTCTGTAAAAAAAAAAAAAAAAAAAAAAAAAAATCTGTATTATTAATAACAGATACCTTCACAACAGGAAAATGCAAAGAGTAAAAAAATATCAAAGAATTACTTGCATAAACAGGTGAAAAATCCTTCAGTAGAAAACTGACTGGCTCAAACTAGTGATTAAATTACAAAATATATTTTTGTCATACAGCATTTGCCATAAGAAATGGCTCTGTCATCTGTTAAAAATTGTCCACACCCTCAAGAGAACAACTTTCAGAGCAGCAGCTCCAAAGTTCCCACTCATGCAGTAATCACCTGCTTTGGAGATTTTGGGTCTCCATCTCAGTCTTACACCTTTAAACAGTTCACCCAAAACCACTGTCAATCATAATTTCTTGTGTCAGTTCCCAGCTGAGGATAAAAACATCTTAAGAACACAAAAGTGGTTCATTTTATAGAAGCCAAATTTACACAGTTACTAGTAAACATATGTTTTAGAGAGGTCTTCTTTCTTTTCATTTCATAGTAAGTGACAAGAATAAAACATTTGATATGTGTGGAACAAATTACAAGCTATAGTTAGAAATATGATACAAATAGCATGAACTGATAGAATATAAACTACTCATACAACTTGAGTGAAAACCAGACTGCTATTTTTTCCACCGCAACTGTCATTTTGAAATCTGCAGTATCTGCTTCTTTACAGTACATTTATGGAGAGATTTATGAGGATCTATCTCTTCTTTGACTATAAAGTAAAACTAAAGCCACCCATTCTGAGGCAAATTATTAATTAATATTTAAATCAGAGCAGATGATTCCCTTGCTGGATGAATTCTTTTGCAGGAGACAGCAAATGGTATCCCATCATCAGTTCCACAACAGATTTTCTAAGACTCTTTTTTTACTCTGATCTTGCTGTTCTCATCAGAAAGACTTTGTATTAAGTGACCTGTCCAGCTTCTGCATTGAAACTGGCTCTTGGAGGTTTAAAGGTCATTTCGAGTTTGTCATATAAGGCTACAATAAAATGTGTCTGACTCACATATTTGCCTGTCCACAGACAACTAAAATGAAGAGATCTCTTCCATTTAGAGTGGGAAGAGGTGGTTGATAAAGAGGACTGCAACTCCTCAAATATCATGTTAAGCAAAACAGTAATTTTGGTGCTGGTGCTGGGAACATCCTAACATCCTAGCAGAGACTTTTGGTGGGAGCATATGTCCCAGGAAAAAGGCTGTGATGAGGCCTCAGGAAGAGAAGTTGCAAGCATCTGGGGTGCTGGCGATGGCATTCTCTATGCAACCATTTCTGATGATGCTGTTCTTATGTATCAAAGTTCATTTGAAAATGTCATCTATTTAGATTTTTCTGCTGTTTACATGCAATATGCCCTTCAGTGAGTGCTTCAGCAAAGGATTTGAAGTCATATCCTATGATCTTCAGGCCAACATGAAAAAGGAATGATGCCTAACCAAACCATAGCTTTTCCCTTAGTAGAATAGGCACAGCCATAAAATAATGGGTGTTTGGATCACTGGCTACCAGACTGTCTCACAATGAGAAGTGTTTAAACTCTGATGGCTGGGATTTCACTTTCAGACAGTAAAGCAGACTACACTGCCACTGTATTTTGACAGAAGATATGGAGCATTCTCCTGTAAGAAGACAGAACACTGTCCCTTAATGGGCAAATTAATTATGAAATTAATTCAGCTGGACAGAGCTGGTTCTAACTGGCTGACATGTACAGCAAGAAAAAAAATGAAATGGCAATGGCCACTCTTACTAACTCCCCCTGTAGAACTTAGAAACACAAAGTGCAAGAGTCTGAACATCCCACCTAGAGAGACATGAACATTTACATTGTGATGATCCACAAAGATGATTACTTCAAGAATTTACTTTTACAAAATGAAGCAGCAATGACAGCAAAAACATTCACAAAAGATCACCTTCCATGAACTTCATGCCAACATTCAGAGCTGAAAATCCTCACAATTCTGTGTTAAGAACTGAGTTTAATCATAGCCTGAAGCAGAGAACAAACACTTATATTTCTCATGCTGGTCATTCTCCATTAATTGCTTATATAAAAACTTGCTTATTCAAAAATTAATAAAATAATATCATTGCTCCTTTAATCCTATTTGTCCTCAAAATAAAAGCTTGAGAAACTGTCATCAACTGATGACACCTGTCATCACAAAATATTCTTAACTAGAGGATTGCAGCTCTAAATCAACTATTCAAATAAAAGAAAGAGAGAAAGAAAAAAAAAAAACTAGTTGTCCTGGGGTGACCAGGACACTAGTTCAACTCTTAATGAACAGAGTGTCTCTCTTGCTGTTATATCTTCAAATAAATATAACAAATATTAATAGGCTAGCACTTAAATTAACAATCTGAAAACCATGCAAGCAAATATCCCTAAAAAAAAAAAAGCGTATAATGATTTTAAGCTATCCTGACAGAAAATTTACAAGTTTCACCCTATCACAGTTCTGGTTATTTAACCATTAGTTATCTAATGTTAGAAATTTTATTTTATTGAATGAAAACTTTTAACTTTACCCTAACACCTGAGCTCCTTGGCCTATTCTGAAACACAACTGGATCTAAAAACTATAGCTTGAGGAATGCTGTAGCTAAATGTTAGAGAACGTATCATATCACACACATATTCTTACCAGTTGCTTGTGCCTTTTAGAAGAAGGAGTACTGGAGGGAGAAGAGCCAGCACTCAGAGCTTCTTCAATATCTAAGTTCAACTGTTCCAGTTTCTTCATAAGCCATGACATAGAGTCTGGCCATTCAGATTCTTTTTCTGGTTGGGTCTAGAAGAAATCAAACATACATGAAGTCTTAAAATATTCAAGCTGTTTGTATCTTGAAGATGCTTATTTTTTCTTCCAGCCCTCTTTCTCTGTCCTTGAGCAACATTTTTCCATTTAGAAAGCTTCAATTATCACTCCAATCCTGATGACACACATTCATATTGTTCTACATACTCAAATGACTTTTGTATATCTGAATAGCTTTCTATCACTTCATCTTGGGTGACCCACTGCTATTTCAAGCTAAGCAGAATCAAGACTAAAACTAAAGTCACTTTAATGCCTCTTCTTAAGCCACTTCTATTTCAGCATCTCTCCACTGATTGCTTGTTGCCAACAGGAACCAGAATATCGAAGGCCATCATGTGCACTGTAATATATTCCTTACTATAATTCTAGACTTGTCAAATCCTCTGCCCATACGGTAGGAATACTTAACTGTCACTTTGTCACTAGGATGCATTTTTCCTTTTTATCTGAAGATCTTTACTGTATAACCAAAATTTTAATCCATTGTAATGTAATCGACAAAGATGCTTTTCTTATTCCTTAATTTCCTCAAAATCCTTTCCAGTACTCTCCTATTGCACCTCTCCATGGTGGTCCCTATGTATGCTGATGCATTATGCCTTGTTTTCTTTATTCACACCACTTATAGTGATCCCCTACAAAAACCAGTCACACTGACCTCCCTGTCAACACAGGCAGCTACTGCTCCCCAGAAGACTCTGTCCCGAAGCTACTTCAGTTCCTTCATCTTCCTTCCTTTCACAAACAATACATATCTTTGCACAGAAGATGATTCCATAGTAAGTATCATCAGACAAACAGTAATAATGCACTTTCATCCTGCCATACCCTAAGAGCATCATAGTAACACTCCTCAAAACCTAGGGGAGATAGATGAGTACTGTTATTACTCTTACCCGATAAATCTTTATGGTGCTTTGTTTCCTTAGAGCGTTTCACAAGTGGAACAGAAAGATAACTAATTGGCTCACTACTGTAGAAAAAAAAACCCTTTACAAACAGAATCAGGGAGATTCACTCCTCTATTACACTGACATATACTATTACTAATGGAATTACTCATTTTCTCCCCAGTAACTAAGGTCCCAAATCATCAGACACTGAATCTCATATTAGCAACAAACACATGTTCCCTTCAGAGGGGCTAATATGATCTTTTTAGAGATTGTTTCAAAGCACAGAAAAATAAATATCCCAATTTTTACTTTTCCAAATCTTTCTTTGGAACATCATCATTTTTTACAACCTCTGAGTATTTTGCCTGAAATGCTGTTATAACTGCTAAGCTATACTTCAACTCTACAGCTATTAAAATTATTTAAAGAGATACTTTGATAGCTTCCCATTGACTTTCCAACTATTTCCAAGTAAACTACAGGACGTTCCACAGAAAATGAGCATCAAAAGACACTTCACATATTGAATCCATTCTGAGTGAGATGACCTCACATAGGAAATGCACATATTGATATATGTCCACAACACTCACTTGTAAACAAAGCAAGTGTTTTCCTGTGGTTTTGCTTCCTCACACACTGGTCTTTCCAATACTAAAGAACACTCAAAAAAAGATCCAACAAGGACAAAACATGGAAACCCACCCAAATTCCACAAACAATAAGGTATAAATTCTGCAAAAATCTAAAATGAATGTTCTATTTCTCAACACAGTTAAAATGCAATTTATGGAAAAGAAGCTGTAAGAATATGTTTTCTTACTTAACAATAGTAAGCAATTCTGAAGCAACAATCACACAGAAATGAGTAAAGTGTGTTTGTTTTCTGTGAGCTATGCAAAAATCATTCGTGCCAGGTGACAAGCACTGAAGGTTACATTAGAAGTTTGGATTTCTGAGTTTAATAGGATGCAGGAGCAATTTCCACATGTTGAAACAGACCACTTTCTGTTCCATGACTGAAAAGAGTATTTTGAGGGGTGCTGGAGAGGTGTCTCTAATTTAGTATTTTCCATAGAAAATACAAAGGTAAAAATTCATGAAGACTCAAAAAATTTCTAAGACACTCCAAATGTATGCAACAGCACACATGATATCGCATTACAATAAAAAGTGCAGCTCCATGCACAGGGAAGCACATTTTTCCTCTATCTCGACAAATATTTACCTACTGGAACAATACCTCCAATATTCACTGATGTTCTTTCAACCAACTGTATGAGCCAAATCCCCTTATTTTCATAAATTTCTTGTTTTAATGCTACAGAATTCAAACCACAGTCATTTCTAAAAAACACAAGTGCTAAGGAGTTTCACCAAGCTATAAATCTCCTAGCATTCTCCATTCAGTTCTTTTTTTTTTTCATTCAGTAAGACTCTATATTGTGTCTATTAAGGGGATGAGGAAAAAGATGGGGTTTCATTATCCTTGAAGATAAAGCCAAAAGGGCCTAGTTAACAAATGCCATTCACTAATTGGAAATTTGGCACAAAAGCACCATTTGGAACAAATGCTGATTGGCTATGTATTTCAAAGGTTGACTGAAATTCCTGCTAAACAGAAAAAACATGATGCTACTTACATTCAAAAATATACAGCCTGCACAGTAGGACTTCTAACTGGTGAATAAATTTTGCCTAATCCATTCATGAGGAACACAGCTCCACAGTGTTCAGCCCCAGTAACTGGGTTGGACACTATCAAAGTGCTCCAAAGATCTGAGTACCAGTGTTTCCTGCCCATAGCAACTGCACAGGCAGTAGGGTCAGGGCGCCTTTGGAAGCTTTTGTGTCTTGCCCTTCAGAAGGAAAAAAAAAATCTCACTTTAAATTATCTAGAGAATCATGGCCTGCTTTATTCATTGTTTTCTTTTTTTTTTCCTAAAAGGTTACAGGGAGAACACTCCTTTCCATATATTATCAAGGTCTTTCTCTGTTGGAGCCATAGCCATTCAGCAACGCATAGGAACGTTGTTACCTTTTGAAGAACCTTGAAAGCACAGAGACCAAAGTGCTTTACAGAAACACTTTTTACATGCTACCTTCGAACACAGAATCATTTAGTTTGGAAAAGACCTCTAGGATTGTCTAATCCAACTGTTAACCCAGAACTGCCAAGTCTACCATTAAACCACGTCCCTCAGTGCTACAGCTACACATCTTTTAAATACCTCCAGGAGTGGTGACTCCACCACTTCCCTGGACAACCCTTCTAGTGAAAAAAAAAATTACTACTATCCAGTCTAAACCTCCCATGGTGCAAATTTGAGACCATTTCCTCATGTCCTATCCTAGACAGATGAGCAGATAGATATGGAAAGTGTGACCAGAGAATTCCCTTATCAAAGAAGTGTTTCAAGGTGGAGCAACACTATCTATGAAGACCATGGCATACCCTAGGCCAAGAACAACTTATTGCCCTTAAAAGTGAACTCCTTTACCATACAGATTTCTCAAGTCCCAGATACTTATGCTAGATTAAAAAAAAAAATGTTATAAAACAAGAATCATCCTCCATGGAAAAGAGAAAATTAAGTGGTATGAACCTTCCTAAAATCAGTAACAGATGTAGCTATTATGCTTAAGACAGCTATTGTATAGAAGAATTATCCCAACAAATGAGATTTACTAAGACATATTTAGCAATCAGCAAAATATAAGACTCAGTTCTATCCTACAGCAACCACAGTCTATTTTAGAACACCTTAATGACTTTTTTACATGTACACATTCATATGTATCCTGACTCTGTATTCATTTGCATAGCTGAAATTTCATTACTACCAATAACAAATCAGAGGTAAAACAAGCTGCAAGATTGTGCCCAATCATCTAAACACTTATTTTCTCTTTTCTAACACTGAAAAGAAAATAAAGAAAATACAGTTCCAGATATTCAAAGGTTGGTGCCTTTTGGACCAAAGGCTTCTGCACGTTGTTTTTCAGCTTTCAAGTATTCTTCGCTAATCTTATTCGGCAAAAACATCTGTGATAAAAGGCATATTTGTTTCAATGTTTGGTGACAAGGCTTATTGCAAGAGGCATAATAGCTGCCAGCAAATCTAAATTTAAACTGAAAGAATGTGGCAGAAATGAACAACTCCATATAGAACACTCAGGGGTCAGGGTTAACCCTGCTGCCAGACCTCATCCTATACTGGAAGCAGAAAGGCTTTCCAAGTGAAGGGTTATGAGAAAATTACACAACTCTAAATTTATCTGATAATTTGTGCCTTTCACTTTAGAACTTCAATAGGTCCAATTGTTCTGGCAATTAATGTATTGTACAACTTTGGGTAGTAAATCAGTAACCACAGAGTAAAATATACCAATGCTATTTAACCCTCCTCCCTATTAAATCTGCTCAGATAAAAATTCTCTCTGATGTACAGCCTAGATCTGTAAATAATGATTTTGTGGAACAATTTCAGGGACCAAATATCATATTCTACTCTTGCTGCACAGATAGGGCTCCTCTGTTCTTAAAAAAAAAAAAAAAATCAGTGTAAAAGAAGGTCTCTTGAGTTGCTGATGGCTTTGCCTACAGGGAACGGGGGAGGAAGACAGATTGATTCCTGATACAAAATCCTTAAAAAAATTATTTAGAATACAAAGAACTCTTTCATTCAAAAAATAGATCTATATGTGCCTTCTATATTGAAGATAAAATACTTCAAAGGGAATTTTCCTTAATATCCCACTACAGTGTTGCTTAAGTATTTACAGAGCTGTTGGATGGACTACTAACTTGTAGCACCTTCATCCTGGAAAGCAGGTGAGAAAACTCAGCAGTTTGCAACCTTTTCACTTCTAGGAGCTGTATGGCTATATATCTGAGATTATTAGGGAAGTCTCTTCCAACTCTCAAGTCAGCAGGCAAGGCCATGCACATAGGTTTCTGGGAAAATGAAAGCTCTGATCCCCAAACCACTCACCTAAGATGGGCTGTAAGACCTTAGCAGTTTTGCAGGAAAAAAGCTCCAGAAATACTAACATGAAGATACATGCAAATCT